GTCCACCACAAACGGGCGGTCGAAGTCGGGCATCTGGAGGACGGGGCCTGTCGTGAGGGCCCCTTTGAGGGCCTCGAACGCCGTCGTCGCCTCATCGTCCCAAGCGAAAGCGTCGCGGCTAAGCAACCGCGTGAGGGGCGCCGCGATGAGCCCGAACTCCCAGATAAATTTCTGGTAGTAGCCGGCGAGGCCGAGGAACCCGCGGAGAGCCCGCGGCGAGTGAGGCGTCGGCCATGCAGAGACGGCCGCCACCTTGTCGGCGTCCATAGCCACCCCGTCGGCCGAGATGACATGGCCGAGGTAGGCGACGGTAGGTGTCCCGAACGAGCACTTCGAGCGCTTAAGGTGGAGGTGGTGCGCCCGAAGCTCGTTGAAGACAATGGCGACGTGCTGGAGGTGCTCGGCCCAGGTGGCGCTGTAGATAAGAATGTCATCAAAGAAAACAAGCACAAACCGCCGTAAGTAGGGTCGAAGGACGTCGTTCATCAGGGCCTGGAAAGTCGCCGGGGCGTTGGCGAGGCCGAAGGGCATCACCAAGAACTCGAAGTGGCCATGGTGGGTGCGAAACGCCGTCTTGGCGATGTCGTCTGGATGCATGCGCACCTGATGATAGCCCGAGCGGAGATCGAGCTTGGTGAAGAAGCGCGCCCCATGGAGCTCATCCAAGAGCTCGTCGACCACCGGTATAGGGAACTTGTCCTTGAGCGTGAGCGCGTTCAGGGCGCGGTAGTCGATGCAGAAACGCCACGTGCCGTCCGTCTTGCGGACGAGAAGCACCGGTGTGGAGAAGGGCGACGTGGACATCCGGATGATGCCTGCCGCGAGCATAAGGGCACACTGTCGCTCCAACTCATCCTTCTGCAGCTGCGGGTAGCGGTAGGGCCGAACCGCCACGGGGGTGGAACCCGGTACAAGGTGAATATGGTGGTCGTACACCCGGGCGGGCGGAAGACCTCGAGGCTCGTCGAAGAGATCGCTGTGCTGCTGCAGAAGGGGATCCGGCAGGGGGTGCTCGGCCTCCTGGGACGCGGCGGCCAGTTGGAGGTGTGGCACGGCCGGCGCGGCGCCCCCAAGGGCGTCCCACCGGATGCGGCGGCCTAGCCGCCAGAACGTCATCGTGAGCACGTCGAAGTCCCACAGGATGGGTCCGAGGGTCCGGAGGAAGTCCACCCCGAGGATGAAGTCGAAGCAGCCGAGGTCGATCCCTGCACAGGTAATGGAGAAGGGCTCGCCACAGATGGAGATGGGAACGTCGCGGGCGAGCCCATGACACTGGAGGCGATCACCGTTTGCCATCGTGATCCGCAGGCGCTCCCCGCTCGTGGTCGGCAGTGCTAGCCGACGCATGGTTGCCGCGGGTAGGAAATTATGGGTGGAGCCAGTATCCAGCAGGGCCACCAGCCGCTCGCCATGGACCGTCACCGGTAACAGCATGGTCCGCTCGCCACGGATGCCGGCAAGAGCGTGGAGGGAGACGACGCACGCCGTTGCCGTAGAATCCGCGGGCGCGTCCGCGGCCGCCGCGGGTGGTGGCTCGTCGGTCGAGTCGTCCGCCTCGGTGTAGTCGACCGTCTCCAAGTAAAATAGGCGGGGGCAGACATGGGTCGGCGAGTAGGGCTCATCGCAGTTGAAGCAGAGGCCCTGACGGCGACGCTCCTGCTGCTCAGCCGGGGACAACCGACGGAAGGTCCGGGTGGTGGCCGAAGAGGTGGTCGCCGAGGCTGAAGGGGTCCGGCCAGGTGATGGTGCGGGTCGACTGGGAAGGCGGCCGCCCCGGCCGGCCGGTTGCTGTAGCGCCTGAGCCCGCTGCTCGAAAGCCCGAGCGTAGTACATGGCCGTCTGGAGGTCGGGGGGATCTCGGAGCTCGACATCCACACGGATATGGTCTGGTAATCCGCCCACAAATAACTCGGCGCGCTGAGTCGCGGAGACGCCCGACGCATGGCATGCCAGGGCCTGGAAGCGGTCGGCGTAGTCCTGCACCGTGGATGTGAAAGGCAAACGACCGAGGGCCGCCAATTGGCTCCCGCGGATAGGAGGCCTGAACCGGAGGAGACAAAGCTCCCGGAAGCGCTCCCATGGTGGCATGCCGCCCTCGTCCTGCTCAAGGGCGTAGTACCAAGTCTGCGCCGCGCCTCGGAGATGATAGGACGCGAGCCAGGTGCGATCCGAAGCGAGCATCCGCTGCCCTCAAAAAAACTGCTCGCACTGGTTGAGCCAGTTGAGGGGGTCCTCTGTGCCGTCGTAAGTGGCGAAATCCAGTTTGGCGAAGCGAGGGGGTGTCGGACCACCGTGCCCGGGGGCTGTAGTAAACGGCAGCGCATGTGCTGGGTCGGGTATCTCTGGGGCGTAGTTCGCCGAGCTGGAGGGACGATCAAATCGGAGAGAGGGCATCGGGTGTTCCGGCGCCGTAGTATACACCGGGTCCGGAGACGAGCCGGTCGCCCACGCGGGAATCGGCGAAGGCGAGGACGGAAACTGCACCTGGTGCAGGGGCCGACCAGTAGGCCGGGACGCGGGTGGTGGTGCTGGCGATGGCGGCGGCGCCTGGTGGTGCGGCTGCACCGGCGCCTGCATCGTGGGGGCCAGCGGTGGCGCCGGGAGGGACTGCTGAGGCGGGCCTCCCAGCGCTGCGGCGGTGGTCGGCCACGCTGGCCAAGGCGTTCCCGCGGCCGGGTAGTGCGGCAGCAGGAGCGGCGGCGGGGGCGCCCCTCCGTAGGGCGCCTGGAAGGCCGGGGCGGGCCACTGTAGTGGCGGCGGCCCATAGGCGGTGGTGGCGGCGTTCGGTGGCGGGGACTGGTGCCCGGCGAGGTAGAGGCTGATGCCTCGGACTGCGTGGACGAGCTCCCGCAGGGTACCCGACATCTCCTCGGGCGTGAGGAGCGGGGGCGGATCCGCCGTGGTGGTGACCGGCGCCGGCGCGGTGGTGGTAACGGTTCCGGACGTGATCGCCGTCATCGGCGCGGAGGTGGCCGGCGGCAGCAGTGGTGGGGCGAAGGTAGATGGCAACGGCGGCGGTGATGGAGGAAGCGACATGATCGGCCTGGTGTCTCTGGATACCAAATTGGTAGGACTAGGGTTCCTACCAGGCCTCCGTCGTAGGTTGTATGGACAGGGAGGAGGGGGGCGGAGGCTGGAGCGGGCGCGCCGGCGGTCGGGCGCCGTCGCGGCTAGGGTTGGGAGAGGCGGCTAGGGTTCCGGCTCCTTGGGGAGCCGGGCAACAGAAGATTATAATATCTTTATTGCTTGATCTCAAACGATGTCTTACAACTAGTATTTATAACTTTAGCCTAAGATAACTTGCCTAATATAACTTGCCTAAGATAACTTGCGGGACAAGCCCCTAATACTAATGCCCGGTGGGCCTCTTCCTGGTATAGACCTGTCCGGTCATAACACTATCCGTATTATTTGTCGCTCAAACATATGTATCTAGCATTGAACAGATATGCAAAATGATCTTATATTATGGGACAGAGTGAGTACATAATAAAATATAGGTTTTGCCATGTTTATTTAAAAAATGATACTCCTATACAAGAAAAATTCAAAATTATAATAGAGTGTTGAACAAATATTCTTCCCAACAAATGTTTTGACTTGTGAAACTTGTTTTGACTTGTAGAAGTGTCCTGGGTGTAGAAGCTTCTTTCTTGACATATTTCTTAGTGTACACAAAAATGATCATTTATGTATATTCGTTTATGTTCAATAAAATTATGTATAAAATTTGTCCATGTATATCAAATATATTTTTTATTGTACTTCCAAAAAATAGTGCGTCGGGAAAAGAGCAAAAAATATATTATGAAACCTATATTTTTCCAAAATAATAGAAATATTACTATTTGGAACAAAGTACCTGTTAGTGGAAAAAAATCTCCACTTTTATAAGTAGTGTCAAAGAAAAAGATCCAGCTGGTTTGAAGTCCTCACGAATGTGAATTTGATTTCTTATTGTTTCAAAAAACAGAAATCGTTTTAGGGGCTTCCCATACCGCACTCTTTAAAAAATGCAATCAAAAATATTGCACAAAAGTAAATATATAGAAAATGGACCAAAAATAGGGGAAATAATAAAATGATAACTAGGAAAGTGAAAACAAAAAAGATGGATAAACTGTTAAGTAGTTAAAGAAATATGAGAAAATAAATAAAAATGAAAAACAAACATATTGCACAAAAGTAATTACATAGAAAGATGGACCAAAATTAGGAAAATAATAAAAGGGTAACTAGGAAAGTGAAAAGAAAAGAGATGGATAAACAGTTAAGTACTTCCTCCGTTCCTAAATATAAGTCTTTGTAGAGATTCTACTATGAACTACATACGGATGTATATAGATGCATTTTAAGTGTGGATTCATTCATTTTGTTTCGTATCTAGTCCACCTAGTAGAATCTCTACAAAGACTTACATTTAGGAACGGAGGGAGTAGTTAAAGAAATAAGAGAAAATAAATAAAACTGGAAAACAAATTTATTGCACAAAAGTAAATATATAAAAAAATGGACCAAAAATAGGAAAATAATAAAATGGTAACTAGGAAAGTGAAAACAAAAAAGATGGATAAACAGTCAAATAGTTAAAGAAATATGAGAAAATAAATAAAAATGAATGAAAAACAAAACAAAAGTAGGGAAAAAGAAAACCTCATGCTAACTAAACTGGACCGAACACAATACAACAAAAGTGAATGTGGAATATCATTATTCCCATGATGAGGGAGAAATTTTTTGTCTAAACATTCGACTCACAAAAAAGCAAGACATGAGGGCCAACTGGCCAAAGCACAAAGGTAGGCCCATTAAACATCATAGTTTTTTGTTAGAACAGTGTTAACACAAAGGTAGGCCCATCAAAACCCACGGTCCAATAGAGCCCACGCACCAGACTTGCTCCTTCCTCACAGTCACAGTGACGAGTACGCAGTTCCAATCCACACCCCCAAAAAAGAATCACTGTCGCCGCCGGCGCCGCCGCCACCGCCGCCTGCGCCATGCTCCGGCTCCGAGAGTCCATCCTTTCCCATATCCTCTCCTCTCCCTCCAAAGCTGCATTCTTCCCACTCAGCCGCCTGCTCTCCGCCCCCGTTTCCCCGAACCCTAGCAGCTTCGCCGTGGAGGAGTACCTCGTCGACACCTGCGGCCTCGCCAGGCCACAAGCCCTCAAGGCCTCCACCAAGCTCTCCCACCTCAAATCCCCCGCCAACCCCGACGCCGTCCTCGCCTTCCTCGCCGGCCTCGGTCTCTCCGGCCCCGACGTCTCCGCCGCCGTCGCCAAGGACCCGCAGCTCCTATGCGCCAAAGTGGACAAAACCCTGGCTCCGGTGGTCGATGGGCTCACCGGCCTCGGCCTGTCGCGTTCCGACATCGCCCGCCTCGTCTCGCTCGCCCACGCCTACTTCCGCTGTAGATCCATAGTCCCCAAGCTGCACTACTACCTGCCCCTCTTGGGCTCCTTCCACAACTTCCTCCGGCTGCTCAAGCACTCACCCCGCCTTCTGTCGTCGGACCTCGACAAGGTTGTCAAGCCCAATGTTGTGTTTCTTAAGGAGTGCGGGCTAGGTGATTGTCATATTGCCAAGCTGTGTATCCCTGTACCGAGGATGCTCGCCACCAACCCGGAGCGCGTCCGGGCAATGGTGGCATGTGCTGAAAGATTGGGTGTACCTCGTGGCACTGGAATGTTCAGGCAAGCGCTACGGGCTGTCGCGTTTCTCAACGAGGAGAAGATTGCCGCCAAAGTGAACTACTTGAAGAGTACGTTCAGGTGGTCTGATGCCGAAGTGAGCATTGCTGTGCGCAAGTATCCGATTCTGCTGGAGAAGTCAAAGGAATCTCTGAAGCGCAGGTCCGAGTTCCTGTTCTATAAGGTGGGGGTGGAACCCGTGTACATTGCTCATCGACCGGAAATAATTTCTTATAGCATGGAGGGCCGACTCAGACCCCGGTACTATGTTATCAAGTTTCTCAAGCAAAATGGACTGCTAGATCGTGACTTGAGCTTATATTCTGCGGTCAAGATGACTGAGAAGGTATTTGTGGAGAAGCTCATATGCCCTCACAGGGAAGCCGCACCACACCTCGCTGAAGACTATGCAACAGCTTGCAAAGGGGAGATGCCAAATAATTTCAGATTCATATGAACAAAAAAGGGCTATGGAAGTTGGTTACAGTGTATTGTGCAACAAAGTGATCACCCTGCGTGTAAGCTCTTAGTACTTCCTGTTTCAGTGTTCTTTTCCTAAGATGATGTTGGTTGTTTTCTGTGGTGTGCTTGTTGCTAAATGCTAACTCCTTATATGAAACTGATAACTTGATTCCTGAACCCCTATTTGTTCATGTTGTCATTCCTTAGAGAAGATCTCTGTAAATGAAAGTTCATGGATATTTTGTCTTTCTGACTTCCATGAAAGATCTTGGAAACTGGATATGTGCGGTGGTCCAATTTTATGATGAACCAAGCATTCACAAAACTAGAAACCAAAAGAGTAATGTGGTCTCGTTTTCCACCAAAATGTATCAGTATCATTTGCTTCCATGCCAAAATTTATTTGTCATGCATGTGCATATTCATTTCCTTATCTTTTAGCTTCCACTGTATATTGATTAGTACCAACTTTCTTTAATGTTTAGGTTAGACTTCGAGACACTGAGACCTTCTACCTGTTGTCCACCCGTTACATGATACTGAGACCTTCTGCCGGTTGTCCATTCTAACATAAAGAGTGGCAAGTTGTGTTTTGTGATGTAATTATGTTTCCTGGTTGTGTTTAATGACCAACAGGGGTTACCATCCCTGCTACTGTCACCGTGCCATTATATACAAACATTTTCCCTGTTCAGAGACACGAAAGATGACAGCCATTTAGATCTGACAAAAAAGAGAAAATTGCAGCAACTAGTTGTATTGTGTGAAAGCTGCAAATGGCAACTGCAGCTGATGATCAACAAGATGAGAAATAGTATATATTCAGCGAAACCAGAATATGACTTAGTAAAAGTTATACGGTTATTCCAAGGTGATGAAGCGCCTATCTGCGAACTGGGCGTCGACCAGTTGGCTAGTGGCGTGTGGCCCGCTGCACACCCAGCCCGCCACCTGTGTTCAAGCTTTTGGCTCTGAAGAGTGTTGTGCCTGGGTTAAAAAATACCAGAGTCTAGTCCCTGTTGGTCTAGTTTATGAAGTGCATATCTCCGCGGTGACTCCAACTTGTGTTTCTTGGCCATCGGATGCAATCACCTCTGTCATATTACGTCTGCAGAGCATCAACAGACCTGGGCTTCTGTTGTTTATTTTTTCATGCTCTGATTTGAACTGAGGTATGTTAACTTTCTTTTCCTGAACTTCATGATCAAAATGGAGAAGAATGTAACACTTATGGAGATGAATGCATTGGATATTAGGTTCAGATATGATAGATACAACTAGGCCCAATGCCACGAGGAAAAAATCACCCTGCTGTTCAGATTCATAAACCTTTCTTAAAAGAGTTACACTTTAGCAAAAAATAATGGTTAAGATAGGTTGATTTTTCACTGGGGTTAGACTTACGTTTTACTCAGAAGTTCTAGCAAACCATCTCTCAAGTAGAAGAAAACAAACCTAATCAGTCCGATGTAATTTTTCTGCTGCCCTGGAGCATGATGCTGAATTACCGTGTTAAGCATGAGTATGTTTTTCTTAATTTGAAACGATGGACGGCTGCATGTGATTTGCGGTTGCTAATGTTCAGTTCTGACTATTAAACATTCATTTTTGACTGAAAGAAGTGGATGTTTCCATTGATGCGTCAGGTCAAAAATGTAATGTGATTGAGGCTGGTGAGTTGTGCTTTCTCAGGTTTACAAGCATTGTTCATAGAAACACAAAACTGAATTTATATACTTAGGCCTGCATGATTCTTTTCCTTTGGCAAGTTCACTACAGCTGTTGATGCTTATTGGGGTTATTTATAAGAGTCCAAATATATGATTTAAAACTTACGTAGCATTTTATTTTGCTGCTGTAAGATACTACTGTCCAGTAAATAGTACCGACATTCAGTTCTTGGTACAGTAAGTAGTCTGACTGAACCTAAAGGAATGGTGATCTCCTGTCTTACCACCGACATGGAGAAAACATGGGGTGCAGTTTAGTTGGGCTTACTGTTCTGATGCCCACGAGTTTTCACCTTTTGTGTTTTGGTTGCACATTCTTTTGGGGTTTACTTTTCTACGAGGTGAGCCCTTTTCAGAAATTTAACAATTTATTGTTATATAATTTCTAACTTGCAGCTACAACAATTTAACATGTATCCGCATCTTGCAAAGGAAAAGAGTATCCAAATCTTGCAAAGGAACAGAGTATCCACATCCAGTATCTGACGTCAGAAAGCAGGATTTAATGAACAAATCCAGATTTGGTGTTATCAGCATGCTCCTTATAGTTACGGTTCTGGTTTAGTTATATAATACTATTGCAGCTAATATTGTATACTCAGTTCCTATGACTACAAATAAAGTTCTGCTTTAATTGATGTTTTTGCAAAGACTGACCCTAATACGCTACATGAAATAAAAATTGCAAGCCAAATTTAATGAGCAGTTAACTCCGCCTATGTCTTCTAGGCATAGCCGGTCCCAAGCCCGGGTAAAGGAGGAGGGTTGTGATAGGCTTGGCGAGCCAACGTAAAAACTAGCCAGTCCCATAGGTATGAAACCCATTTGAGCGAGAATAGTACTAGGATGGGTGACCTCCTAGGAAGTCCTCGTGAAAGGGTTTCATATCTAAGGGTTGTGATAGGCTTGGCGAGCCAACGTAAAAACTAGCCAGTCTTTTGGGTATGAAACCCATTTGGGCGAGAGTAGTACTAGGATGGGTGACCTCCTGGGAAGTCCTCGTGAAAGGGTTTCATATCTAGCCTACCCCAACTTGTTTGGGATAAAAGGTTTCGTAAGTAAGTAAGTAAGTAAATTTAATGAGCAGTTGTCAGTCTTGGCAAAAGCAGGGACCTAAGCGATCAAATCAAAGGAGAAAGAGGTTGAAACGAGGGGAGAAGATCACAGCAACCACCAGGAGGAAACATATCTCAGTTTTTCAGGACCCGCATACCTTGAAATTGATGTAGCAGGAGGATGCTGGTACATGTTTGGTTTTAGTGCGCCACCAAAAAACGCTTGCTGATGGGATGCAAAGGCTAAGGTAATGAACTATGTACTTGAGGTAGCAGGCTATGCTTACTGTACTGCCTGCTAAAATGCAATGCCTAAGATGGACTGTCCTAAATTTTGAGGACAATGGCTTCCGTTGACAATTTTGTCGTGCCTAAATCCAAAATGGTGGGCACACTGTTCTGAATTTTTATTGTCTTTGCCTAAATGGATGTAGGTTGTCTTCAGTATGCCCATTACATGCTAGTTTTGTCATTGCTGACTCCTATAAAACATATAATTTTATTCCTGAACCTTGATATATATGTTGATGTTGTTGTTCCTTAGAGAAGATCTCTGAAAATGGAAGCCCATGGATATATTTGCGTTTCTGACTTCTGTGGAAGATCATGAGAACCCGAAAAAAAAAGATGTGTTGTTTTCCACCGATATGTGCCAGTATGATCTGCTTTCATGCCAAACTTTGATTCATATAGGATAGTTAATTACTCTTCTTTTATTTTATTTCTGAGAATTACTCTTCTTTACCTGCTGATTTTGTTCTTTTGTTAGTAAGAAATCCATGTATTTCAATGCGACTTAGATATGCTTCTTCTGGTCATTGGTTGATTTAGTTAGTGAAATGCTGCACTGGCTTCTCTTTCTCTCATTGCTTCATGTCATTGGTTAAATTCACACCTTGAAGTTAGGTGTTCATAGCTGCAGAATTGCCAGAGTTCCATCCAAGAGTTTGCAAACTACCGGAAACAATATCATGTGGAAATTTTATATTGTCATGGTTATGTTTTGCCTCCGTTTTCTGCTTTCTTTGTTACTGATCCTTTGTGTGTTAAGATGCCCAGGAGTTTTCATCCTTTTGGTTGCACATTCTTTTTGGGTTTCCTTTTGGTGTAGAGACTGCCCCTCTGCCTGGCTAACTGTGAGGTGATCCCTTTCCAAACCAGTTACGCTACAGTACTACATAGATTTCAAAACTTGAAACCAGGAATTCGATATGTTTTAATGCTGTATGTTTAATTTTCGATGATAAATGCGGTGTTGTGCTGCTGAGGTAGTAGCATCCTTTCAGCGTCACCATGGTACTTGCAAATGCAATAAGAGCAACGCCAGCTGCAGCACCAAAGCAATGCCGCCGATCAAGTCGCATCAAGTTCAGCTTAATCAGCATGTGCGCCAAAATTACGTACATGGATCGAGACATGGCAGAGGCAAGATTGATCTATGAATGCATGCATACATTTCCAAACTCTTATCTTCTGAACTCCCAGTGTAGCAGATAGAGTTTCTCGAGATGGGGAAGACGATCATGTAAGGAGTTCAGCTGGCTGTCAGGGTCAATGTATCTGCGCTTGAGGTCTCAGAGCATTATGATGGCGGAGACCGAAGCATCCTCT